AGAAAATCACATTAGATGCAGAAGCTGGAGTTATACGCATGTCAAGCAATCAATCAAACTGTATGTTGGCTATATCAGGTAGGATGTGATTAGTGGAATTAAGAAATTAGATTTATAAAAAATCTGAACTACAAAAGAGAACAGGAACAACAGATTTGTCTTTATTATAGACACAGTTAAAAAGTATCCAGAAGCCTCTGAAGCCTCTCTTTTGAGATAAAATACAAGATTTGTGATCTGAGAATAGCAGGCTTAAGCATTAGACAATACCATTTAACAATGGTTTCTAGCAATAATAAACAGACGCCTGTTTTTTGGAGAATTGTTTTGGCAATAGATATGGAAATAATGGTTACAATTGGAAATTACAGCAGCAAATTGAGAGGAAAGCCATGGAGAAGAGTGAGGTTTGACTTTTTTTGATTTATTAGGAGGTTGTAAAAGATTCCATGCCAACCTGAATCTAAGAAGTTACATAAGAAGCACGTTTGTCAGCAGAAAGAAAAAAAAGCTCTTTATAACTTAATAACAAAAATGTCCAAGCCAAACACAAACCACAACTTATCAAAATACAGCAAAATGAAAAGGTCAGTAAATTTACAAACTCTTTTTTTCAATAAAACCCCTACAAACAACTACTTCAGTTAGACTAACTTGAAACTAATGTGAAATTAAAATTAACTTTCAATTAAAAGTAACTTTTTCTACAAGGCAATAAAAAAAATTATGATTAAGAACTTTTTACAACTATAAACTTATCGAATTATAATTTTAACTTTTTGCTATTTTTTTTTTTTCCTATTATTATTAAATAATAAAAATAATAGGAAATAATTGTGAAAGTAAAAAAGCAACTATAACAACATACTCATTAACTTTTATTTAGAATTAAGTATTTATTTTAATATATTAATATAAGAAGTTAAAATATTTCAAAGAATTCAAATTATTGCAGTAGGCATCTAATAAAATTTTAAACTTTTGTTTTGGTGGTACCCATAAGCTTGTGCAATGAACAACAATCAAAACTATTTGATGCTTAAATTTTCAAATTATAAACGTTTCTGCAGATATATATATATATATATATATATATATATATATATATATATATATATATATATTTTCATACTTTGTTTATTAGACAAGTACATTGCAATAATTTTTAATTTTGGGAAGATCGAAGAATTTGTTATTTTAGAGACAACTTTTACGTCATTTTGTTTATACCACCCCATAGCCAGATAGCTATAATGATTTGATAATAAATCAGACCATACCACAAGTGAACTATCAAATGATTTAGTAAGAGATAAAAGACAGTTTTGTAAACACTCTTTAACATATATTTTATCAAAAAGTGTGCAATCAATTTTTATCTTGACTATTGAATAAATCAAAACTTTTTTCATGAAAAAAGTTTTGATTTATTCAATTGAATAAATCAAAACCTTTTTCATAATCATGTTTGTATTTAATATTCTTATTTGATTTTTTTCTATATTTCTGCATTATAATAGACAGCCAGGAGTTTGCTGATGATCGTATTTTATATAATTTATATTACAGTTTATAACTTGTATAACATTTAATAATACAGAAATTTTTAGGAATTTAATTTTCATACAACTTTTATAATTGGGTTTATGTACTTTTTTTTGAATTTCATAATGGTAAGGCGCATTTTGTGATTTGAAGGCTTAAAAAACATGTTTATTTCAAACTATTAGAACAAAACTATGAGTTATATGATTGGTCTATTTGTAAGAGGCCTGTATATAGTGTATATGAGTGTATAAATTACGATAATTAGAGCTTGGGAACAAAAAAACCCAAAAAATTAAAATAGTTTTTGTACTATTTTCAACTAGACTTACATTCATTGATAAATTTTTCATAGTATTATCTGTCAGCGTAAAAAATTATGACTATATAAAATTTGCAACCCCCTCAAATTGAGGGGGATTTAAACTTTATATAGTCATAATTTTTAAACGCTAAAATATTTTACTATAAAGTTTCAAATTTATTTATGAGTATAAGTTTAGTTGAAAATAGTACAAAAACTATTTTACAAACTTATTGCTCTCTCCTTCAGGGCAATGTTGGACAAATTTTTGGGTTTTTTTTGTTCCCAAGCTCCAATCTTCCTTATTTGTTATAAATATGAATGTATAAATGTTTGGAATTTGCTCCATGTTTGAAAGTTAGCTCAAAGATCAAATAATGTTGGCATTTTTACATAACAGGTTCATGACATTTTAAGACATAACATTAAATAACAGGTTCATGAGATTTTATAATTGCAATCGTCTTATAAAAACCTTTATGTTAATATACCTTTATACACTTTTCTCTGCCAAAGAAAAGTGAAATTTATTTTTGACATAAAACTTGTCCTTACCTACTCAAACAAAAAAATTAAATTCAACATAAAAGTTTGTACTTACCAATTCAAACAATCGAAAATGATGATTTGCTTTTGACTATCAAATTATCATTGTTAGAATTGAGTCATATTAGAAGTTGCAAATAATCTAAGTTGTTTAAAAAAACTCCTCCACAAACTGTTGATGTAGTGGATGATTTTAAAGATCATACAATACTCTATCAACTTTATTAAGAACAGCAACCATTTCCAAAAAATTTTTATTTTGAGCTTAATCAAACATTATATTTGCTGTAATGAAGTAAAACCCAGACTTTTCAGCAATATAATCTTGTCTAGAAAGAAATCCCTGACCATATTCAAATAACCAAGAACTTCCATTTGTAATCCAGCCATTAATGGGATACCATTTGCTTTGATCTTAAAAAATACTATTAATTCTAAACTGCATTGCAAAAAATCCAAAAGTATCGACGCTAATGAATGTTAGTGAACTTGATGATGGTTTACCAATGGAATATGAATTAACAGTCAAAGCATTATTTTTAAATGAGTACATATCTGCAATATTTAAAGAAACCACAGTAGTAAATGATAAACTAAATGGTAACAATCCTTCATTGTAGTACTCAAAAAGGTTAATTAAAGATGTACCCAAATTTTGCTTAATACTGATAAAGCCATAAATATTTATAAGATCAATATTAAATGCAGCTAAATATACACCACCTTTAGAAATAATATATTCATTTGCTTGGGTGAAGTTTGTTTAATGTAATGACTCTACTGCAGACCATCCCACTATTTTTTGATCTTCTGATAAACTTATAAGTGTTTCAGATAATAACTGACATGAAAAACCATCTAATGATCTCAGAGGATTAATAAGCTTTAGACTAAACACGCTTAACTCAGATACATATGTTGTCAATGCATTTAATTGGACAAAAATTGCAACAGTGTGACTAACTTAAAATTTTACTGCTTGTGTTATTGAAATAGTACAAATACCAGAACATACAGGATATAAATATGAAGGACCAATACCAGATTTAACCATTGAAAAACCACTTTAGTCTGCATTGATACCAATCTTTACTCTTAAAGATAAAAAATTTTGATATTTTTAAATCTATAACAGATCATTATTTTATTTACAAAAACAGTAGTTGTGGTAACTATTCCTTGACCTCAAAAATCTAAATTTGAAAAACAATGAAATATCTATACTCCTAGAAAATTTTAACATCTCAAGGACGGCAGAACTTACAGGTTTGCCTAATCATAGAATTCTTAAAATTACCTCACAAACTGCAGTTTATAAGGTAAGTATCTTGATTTAACTTATTTTCTATGGATAATCAATCTTTAAAATAAGTTTATTTTTACCACCTTTTTTTAAAATTTTCATACTTATATACTTGTACATGTTCATACTTACTTAAATAAATAAAAATTTGAAACAATTTACTCCAATAACATTCATATTTCTTCAATACCATATTTATACTCTTATATATAAAATCCTAACACAACACATATCCATATAAAACTACAGGTAATGCTTATTAGAACATAATTAAAATGGTTGTAAACTAAAGTTTACAACCATTTTAAACAACACACTTTAAAGCGGTTGTAAACTAAAGTTTACAACCGCTTTAAAGTGTGTTGTCTTTTTTATCGCATAGAATCTCACTTATTCAAAAAGTTTTATGTATTACATTAGATTTATAAAATAAAATTTTTTATCGCTAAGAATCTCACTTATTCATAAAAGTTTTATTATATTATATTAATTCTTACATTAATCATCATACTTTTCTTTATCTCTATTATCTCTTTTTTCTTTATCTCTTATCTATTATGTCTATTTATTCATCTTTTGTATTTCTTTATCTTTGGATTCATCAACAAAAATCTTTTAAACAAAATAATAAAAAGAATAAAAAAAAAAAAATATCAAACCCAATGGAAATTTGACTTTCGTTTGTTTTAATAACTAAAGTACTTGATATTAAATACACTCCATCTAAAAAAACAGTATATACTCCATCCCTTTGGTTAAGACCTTCTCCATCAACACCAAGAACAGTTGACATTATAACAATCTAATTTCTTAGTCTTGTATAATACCTAAAAAATAATAATTTCTTTTAAAATAACAACAACAGGGATTAGTTAAGTTATATGGTAAGTAATACTGAGTAAAAATTGATTACTGAGTAAAAATTGAATTATTTACAATAATTTCTATTAATTTTATTATTTTATGAAAACATATTACAGTTTTAAAGATCATTGGCTTTTGCATGCTTAGAGAATAATGTAACCTTATCAAGCCATTCTTATGCACAATGTTGAATATTATTAACATAACTTAAAATTTAATTAAATTAAGGGTTATTCCTTATGAAATCATCCAGACCATGACACCCTTACGTCTCAGAATTTGTTCATTTTTACACCACTTGCAGTCCATAATAAAAAAATTATAACTGCAAAAATTTTAGTCAAAAGTACACATGGGTTCCAGAGATAACATCAGTTGAAATAATGCTGATTCAGCAATTTACTGATTTTCTGAAGCGACTCCAAAGCAACTTTGATTCAACTTTTTCAATGGTGTTTCTTGGGTATCAGACAAATATTTTTGGTGTAACAACAGTTCTCACAAATAGTTTAGCTTACACTACATCTGGTTGGTTTAAGATTGAAAAATGGAAATCTCAAACTGCAGCAGGTCCATTTTTTAATTTTGGGGGAGGATTTAATCCAGACTCTGTAGAGTGGGTAGCTAAAAATGTACATTTTTTTTTTACTTTTGTTTTTAGATTGATTATACTTGTATCTTTATTTCTTTTTCAGTTTTGTTGCTCCTAAAGCAGGTTTTTACATTGTGAGTGCTGGAATAAAAATGGTTCAGGCAAGTGCAGTTGGTTCTACCTTTACTTTAAATGTTGCTATTAATGGAAATCCATCTACTTTACAATACCAAAATGGAATACAAGACTATCTTCAAAATGGTAATGTTGCACCTACTACAAAGTAAATACCTTTCTTGTAGTTTTGTTTTATTCATTGTTAAAATATTTTGAAAAAGCAAAGTTAAAATTATAAATTTTTTATGTACTTGTTACTAATAGGTACTAAGAATTTTATTTTATCAGTTTTTAGTAAATAATGTCTTCCTATTTAGTTTTTAGTAAGTTATAATGTCTTTTATATTTTTTTTTAATAAAAAATTATAATGCTTTATTATTTAGTTTGTATTGTAGTTAGTTATTATTTATTCTTTTTCTAGTCTTTTAAATAGTGATTTTTACTCATTGGTTGTGTCTGGTTTGGTATTAGTTAATGCAGGTGACACCATTGCACTTTATATTCAATCTGTTGCTGATCCATCTTATACAATAAGTCAAGACAGCTTTATGTCAATCATTTTCATTAGCTCTACCAATAATTTATATTCATCTGGAGTGCAGTTAATGCTAGATCCAACACTTGATCATTAGTTGAGTGCTTCTGATTGGTCTAAAGTTAAATATTGGCAGAGCAACTGGGTGAGCACTGCAACTGGTGTTTTCAGCAGTGGTAAATTTTCTTTTTCTTTTTTAAATTTAGGTTTTTAAATTAAAGAGTTATTCATCAATTGTCTCGCTTATACTTAATACTTGATCAAAGTTTGCATTTAAAAATGGTGTCTTTTTAGAAAAATTTAAATTTTGTAACAAAAGCAATTAAAATATTTTTAAAAACATTTATTTGAGTAAAACATTAAATAGTGTTATTTGTTGAATAGTTTACGACATTTGTAGTCATGGTTTAAGGGAGGTCCAGGGGGTCTTGATTGACCTATGCCCCCCCTCCCCCATATACCAAGTTTTTTTAATTTTTTTTTTTATTTTTACATAAAATGAATAAATAATAAAAAATTATCCAATTACAATTTAAAAACATATATTTTTTTAAATTTAAGTTTAAGAAACAATTTATTTTAGTTATTTTCAAATCAATAAATACCTCTTATTTTCTAGATCTTTTCACGATTTAAAAAGTTATTAATTTTAAAACAAAAAATATTAAAATCTTTTTCAAACATTTTAACAAACAATATCTTTATGATATTATTTAGTAGTTCAAGACTAATACAGTCATTAAAATAATAGGTGGAGATTGGAATTTATTTAAATCCCACCCCCTCCTTCTCAGCCTACAATCCAAAGATTTGAAAAAAAGAAAAAAGAGAAATATTAAATGCAAATAGGTAAATAAAATAAAAACAAAATTATTTTAAATGTAATTAATATTTTTTGTAACCAACAGCTTATATTCTCTAAATCTAAATCAGTTATATAATTGATATCTTTGTACGTGTCCATGATTTCGGTGCAAGCGTTAACATTTGCACCTTATGGCAATAAGAGTCAGTCTCTAAAAATTTTTTTTTAATTCAACATTAAAATAACATTAAAATCACTAGATCATAGCTATTGCTAATGTTGTTGTTTAAAATTTTAATTTCTGTTGTTAAAAAAGTTTCTTTAATATTATATGCTAATGAGACCATTTTTGCAACTCTGTCAATAGTGTTCTTAAACTTTTGTTTTGCTTTAGGCAATTTGCTGTGTTTTAAAAGACTTTTTAGTTTGACTGGTGAAATTCTAAGCAATTCTATAGTGGTTTTTTTCTTACTTTTTGATTCCCGTTCATCCTGTGAATTTAAATCTTCTTCAGTTTCTATTGCTTTTTTGTAACATTTACTGCAGAATTTCCAACCTGGGGTTACATAAACGTTATTTTCTTGCAAAAATTTTGCCATGTCTATGGAAATCTTTATATTACCTAAAAAGAAAATTTATTTTTAGGATTTTAAAATAACTAAACATATAAACATTTTTATAAATGATAAATTGTTTTTCTTTTAACTTCCATATCAATTCTGTTGTAAATAATGTTAGATTACCTTTTATAGTAAATCTTTTACTTTTCTTGTTTATTTCAAAAGGATTGCAGCACTTTAATTTTTTTCTCAAAATATTTTCCATAGAATTGCACATGATAACAACATATAATTTTTATTGAACTATGTTTTCCTTTTAAATTTGCTCGCCATATTATTTCTTTTTGTTTTTCACAAGAAAGATCTTTAAATTGAACAAAACCTTGTTATCTAGAAAATCCAGTTTTGTGGCAATGAATGTTAAGACTTATTCCAATGTCACATTTCTCCATATTAAATACTTTTATTATTTATTACCTGCCAAAAAAAATAAAATATATAAAATTTACAGTCATTCTTTAGAAAATTACAAATAAGTAAAAGGAACAAAACAAAACTTATGCTCGTTTTTGATATAATAGGATGTTTTAATTCACCAATTTGAAACAATGAAAATAAAATGTTTCTCAAACTTAAACAAAAAAAATATGTTTTTAAATTGTATTTTAATTGAAAAAAAAAAAAAAAAAAAAAAAAGAGATAGGAGGGGGGGGGGGAGGAAGTTCATCCAAGGCCCCCTGGACTTCTCTTGAACCATGACTATAAATGTCCTAAACTAGTCAACAAATAACACTATTTGATGTTTTACTCAAATAAATGTTTTTAAAAATACTTTAATTGCTTTTGTTACAAAATTTAAATTTTTCTAAAAAGAATAAAACAAAACTACAAGAAAGGTATTTACTTTGTAGTAGGTGCAACATTACCATTATGAAGATAGTCTTGTATTCCATTTTGGTATTGTAAAGTAGATGGATTTCCATTAACAGCAACATTTAAAGTAAAGGTAGAACCAACTGAACTTGCCTGAACCGTTTTTATTCCAGCACTCACAATGTAAAAACCTGCTTTAGGAGCAACAAAACTAAAAAAGAAATAAAGATACAAGTATAATCAATCTAAAAACAAAAGTAAAAAAAAATGTACATTTTTAGCTACTTACTCTCCAGTGTCTGGATTAAATCCTCCTCCAAAATCAAAAAATGGACCTGCTGCAGATTGAGATTTCCATTTTCCAATCTTAAACTAACCAGATGTAGTGTAAGCTAAACTATTTGTGAGAACTGTTGTTACACCAAAAATATTTGTCTGATACCCAAGAAACACTATTGAAAAAGTTGAATCAATATCTATGGACCAGCTATTATCATTTTCAATCATAACAAAAACATTAACATAAGAATCTAAAGAAAATATCAGCATTAACCTAATGAACATCTGACAACTGATGTCAGTTGTCAACTTGATGTCAGTCTTGACTTGATGTCAGTCAACTCAATTGCATCAGACAATAACAACTAATTAATGTCATGCAATCAGATTTATTAATAAATATTTTTCAATAAATATTGCATTTAACAAAAATTGAAAGACTAATATGATAAACTAAAAAATAAAACAAACAATGAATAAATAAATAACTATACCTTTTTTAATAAATAAGGCTCCAGACACACTAAGAATGTCTTGAACTACTGATGGTTTTCCTTTTGTTGCATATAAAGCAGTTTGTTTTGATAACTGATTATTGACAGCTATCATAAAATATAAATTGGTCCATTGCTGTCTTTAAAAATAACACTAGCAGACAAATAAAAGATCCCTGTTGCCATAGCAGTATACTTACCAGAAACTAATTTTTCAGTAAAAAAATGAGTCACTCTTCTGACTTTCAGACCATGTGTCAATAACTACCCAATTGTTAATTTTTGTTTGATAAACCTTTTGATAATAATATTTGAAGTTAAACTAATTTAAAATACATATAATAGTTTAATCAACATATGTGTGTGTATATATATATATATATATATATATATATATATATATATATATATATATATATATATATATATATATATATATATATATATATATATATATATATTAGGGTGTTTCAAAAAAAAGTAGTCTCCAAAAAAAAAAAGAGCCCTAGCTTATCATCTGTCTAAACCGTGATTTAGTACTGAAAAAAAATTTTTTTTACATTTTTGAAAACCCTAAGGGTACCTTTAGGGGGTAAAAGGGGCAATTTTTAATGCATTTTGTACTATTTTTAAAATTGTTTGGAGGAAGTCTTGACATTAAAGTTTTTGATTTTTATTTTATACTTATGTTTGTGAAAACTTAATCTAATTAAAATGGGCTCTATTCTCAAAAATAAATTAAAAACTCAAAAAGATTGTTTCAAAAACCCTAAACCCATAAATAATAAATAAAAATATTTTTACACAGTACATTTTTTTAATATTTTTATAAATGAAGTTTTAAATTTTTTAGTAATTAAAATGTTTTCTTGAAATATATTTTATATTAATTTTTTTTTTAGATTATATACTTAAATAATTAATATAATGCCACCAAAAAAAAAGTTAGAAGTATTAGATTGGATAGAATATTTTTAATTAAAAAGTTAATTGAACAACTTCCAGCAAAAAAATTTGAAACTGCTAAAGAAATTATTAAATATTATCTCTTTCTACAAAAATCAAAGTGTGAAGAAAAAGTAAAGTTCTTAGTAGGTTGTCCTAACTGTAAAGTTCTTAGTAAGTAAAGTTCTTAGTAGGTTGTCTTAACAAAAGTTCTTCTTTTATACCCAATTGTCCAGTTGTTCAGCCCAACTGAAGTACTTTTTTTATACCCAAATATCCAGCTGATCAGTCAAACTGCTGTATACTGTCCAAACTAATGGTTTCTTGGATACTTGGTGGATTAAAAGTGCTTACAATACAAAAGTTAAAGTAATATTTTCAATAAATTCTAAATTATTTTAATCTATGTTTATTACATAAATATGCTGTTAAATAATATTTTTACAGGATTAAAATTTAGAAATTATTGAAGGAGTGGATGAAATTAAAAGATCAAAGAAACAGAACAAATCCTACTGAAATAAAAAAAAGACATTTGTTTGAAGAGAAAATGAATAAGGTATTTTGGATTGGAGAACATCCTCATGTTATGTTTGAAGAAATATTGATTATATCATTATAATGAGAAAGATTATATTATTATAATGAGAAAGTGAAAGACAAAGAGGAAGATATGGCTGTCTTAAAAGACCAGCTTAGTGAAAAAAAAGAATGTCTTGGAGATAGAGATTAAAAATATGAGTGTTCTGTAGTAAGAAGTAAAAGATGCACATCAAAGTTAAATAGAAATCCGTCAGCAGAATTATATAAGAATGATTTAGATAATCAAAGTTCTACTAGTTACACTAGCAACAAATTAGACAAGGAAACAGATGTTGACTTCGATTTTAATATGCATTCTAATATTCAAAATTCTGTTCTTCTTCCTAAAAATATTCTTCAGTCAACTGCTCATACAGCATTGATTACAAGTGTTATTGTCATGGCTGGTGGTTCTGTAGCAAACTTTAATTGTTTTAAATCCACATCTTATAGAACTACAGAAAAAATAATATCTGTTAGGGCTAAAGAAATAAAAGAACTCATAAAAAATACTGTAATAGCAGCAGATTCACTAATGACCATACACTTTGATGTAAAA